CACAAATTACTCCAAACTTCTAACTCTTTTAATACGTGTCGGTGGCGTTTTCCGCCATCTTGCGATTACATCATCTTGGCTAGAGCCAGTCCTTTTCGATATTATTCTAACTAGTTCCAGTTCTCTACACTTGGGCCGCGGGGAGCATTGCGTGACTCCGGCCCAAGCGCCTGCGAAGATCTGCGAAGGAGACTTAACAATTAGTTCAATTGTCAGCGTGCGTAAGTCGAGAAATTTAGCACGCGAGAGGTTTCGAGAGCACGAGAGAGACGTAAGTTAGAGAGCAACTCTAGACTTTTGAGTGCTCTCCAAACTTCCCGAGTGCTTAATATCTCGACATACAAAGTACAGATGAAGCATGAACTAATGGTTTTATAACATAATCAAAGCGATCAATACAGCAGTAACTTAAATTTATATTATTGCAGCGCGCGCTCAAAGCAGTACGCGTCTACGTGATTATATTTTTTACGGAATACCTGACAGTGATGGTTTTGTCTTGAAACTGAGAGAAAGTTTACTCAAGTCGCTTAGGATAACATTAAAAAAGATTGTAAAATCCATATTGAGGTGCCGGAAAACTATTACTTCACTGAAAAATTGTTCTCAAAAGAAATAACTTTGCAAGCCTTGCAAAGAACGATTTGCACACGCCATAGCCCGGAGAGACAACAACAACAACAACAACAACACTCACATCTTTTTCGCTACTATCGGTTAACAAATTCAAACGTTTTCTCTTAAATTACCTTGTAGGACACATGGTAAACGCTTCATTGTTTACTGTTGAGTTATGGATGCACTTGAGAGACGTCTTGGGAGGATTGCTAAGCTCACATAGTTTATTTGATGTCATCAACGTGCTCACGCTTTCGCCATTGAATTTGATTAGGCGAATATTCTACATTCGGCGACAAAATGAATTGAGACACTTCGCCGTAAACTGGGCTTTTTTTCGTTTTACTGACTGCAAAACGAGGAAATATAGCTTTTCCTCCCCTGTCCCCTCCATGCAATGTTATGCCGATGTTCGAGCTACCTATAGAAAACAACGGATTTTACTTTATAATAATAACTTGCCTATAAACTGCTCGAAGAAACTATCATTTCGAATTTTTGCTGATGACACAAATATGTTTTACACAAGTGATAAGTTACAACATCTTGAAATAGTCATGAATGAGGAATTGAAATTAGTTTTTAAGTATATATTGATCAAAATTTACACTGGGGACCACAGATTCAACACAACACATGGACAACAAGCTTGTGAAAAATGTAGGCATCATTAATAAATTAAGATATTATGTAGATCTTCACACTTTAAGGCAGTTGTATTTCTCCTTCATTTATCCATATTTAACTCATGATATTACATTAGCTGGGGCAGTGCTTGTAAGACCAGGTTACATAACTTTAAAACGAAACAGAATAAATGTCTTCGTAGCACGTTCTTTACTTATAGCAGGGACAATGCTATGCCCTACTTCAATCTTTTAGCGCCAACGTTGAAGAGACAGGAACGTCACAACGAAGGAACTCTAACTGCATTAACATCAACGAAATCGCTCGTACCTCAAGATGGATGCCATAATCACACACACGAGGGAAAACCGGCGCGCGCATATAATATAACGCAATGCCGCAGGCACTGCTTGTTGGCGCAACCTCTTCTTCCGCGTAAGTGAATGCGAACTACCTAAAAGGTGAGAACCGAGACAAAAAATATAGTGCCATAATGTAGAACAAAATTTGATATCAAACAGACTACGGTCTAACAGTCACTGCATGATAAAACTTATCGCTGCAGGATAAAACTTAACGACGTAAAGGCTAAAACCTGACATAGTCATTTAAGTACGAAGGTGGTTTGCGCTGTCTTTGAGGTCTTGGACCAGGAGTCTCAGGAGAAGAACTGGGACAGGAAGGCAGGGCCTGATCTGGGGCTGTCACACTTGTGCTGGGCTCCTCCTGTAGAACAGGTACAGTGGGAACGCCAATAGGGGCATCAAAGGTAGTGTCATCACATGAGGACGAAGGGAATTTCTCCTCGTCAGACGGCACGGACGTAAGCTCAGGCGGAGCGGGAGGAGGTGACTCTGGTGATACTGAGGCTGCAGGTACAGCGGGGGTTACCGGAGAAGTATCGTCATCCTGGTCTTGAGAGGCCTAGAGACCAGAATGATCGGACACTATAATGGAGGGAGGTGTTGCGTAACACTCGGACAACTTCACTTTGTAGGAGGTGGCCCTCAGTTGTGAACCACTAAACTTCTTAACGAAGCACCAAAGAAAGTCAATGGAAACCGCGATATAGCGATCACGCGCGCGAAACTTGTCCTTATCGGAAATGAGGTACACAATGTCGCCATCGTGTAGAGAAGGCGTGTTTGGAACAAGACCGCGGGGGTTCTTAGACTTCTCACTGGAGGCATGGTTAGTGGAACGTTGCTCGTGTCTACCAAGTATGAGGTCGTAATCAGCAACGGCAAATGTTCGTGCGTGAACTGATTGCGTTGACTCCACAACTTGCGAGATGATAGGCCATGAAGGCGAAGACGGGAGTTAATACGGGCAGTGGCGAGAGCAAGGCCAACTGCACTTACTCAAGTTCACGGACAGCCTTCTCGGCGACTGGGTTTTTGTTGTGGTTCTAAGCTTCTTGGACGGGCGTGTGCCTTGATTAACGTGGGCGTGTACTCTACGAAGGTCGGGACAGTCGTGTTGGATCTGTTGCCAGGCTGATCTGGTTGTGAACGGGAGATTAGACTTGCTGTTGAGGATGTCATGAATTGAGACGTTCCGTACGACGGAATCCTCCATTTCGTGGACAAAGTTGCAGATCTGGCAATTAGGCTCACTGCAGTCAGGAGCGTTACGGCTGTTAAAGTCAGACGGTAAGTTGGCCTTCCCAGGCGGGTGTTGAAGATTGACTTGGTAACGGCTGACGGTCGTGAGGAACGAAGTCACACGAGGGCTTACCGAGAATTCTCCTCGACAAAGTTTGTCAATCTCTTGAACACAGGGTTTGCTATCTGTTAATACGGTCGTTGGACGCGGAGACTGGATAATAAAAGGGGAGAAATGCTTGATGGATGCAGCAATTGACAATGCTTCTACTTCGCAGGGAAGCCAAGTGACTTGGTGTTTTCGCAACTTGGCACTGAAGAAACTAGCTAAGTGGAGTTGATTGGTACGTGAGACGTACAATGTGGCACCTAGGCCTCTCCTGGTAACGGTTCCATCCGTAACTACCCAGAGGGTGTCTGAAGGGCGAGGGAGAACTATGGCTTTGTGGTTGGATAGGAAATCCTGCGCAGATTTGAACCTGGAGGTTAGGTTCTCATCCCACAGTAGTCTGTCGGAAGACTGAAGGCCAGTGAGAGCGCACTCCAGGGGAGCGATGACGTTTGAGCAGTTGGGCAGCGCGCGACTGAGGACTTTGTAGGCACTGATAAAATACCTGAGACCTTTCACGGTTGAATGAGGAGGACACGATGCCATGACGGCGATACGATGCGGGTTAGCTAATAACCTGCCTTGGGACCATATCCAGCCGAGAACAGAGGTGGTCTTGGGACAAATAACGGTCTTTGTGGGAGAAAGACGAAGGTTACAACGATCGAGGGCCTGAAGGACGCGTCGCCAGTTGTTCGGGAGGGCTTCGGGGGTATCGCCACCGCAGTAGAGGTCGTCTGCAAGTTTGGCCACGAAGCCTTCTTCAATGAAGTCACCGAGAACGCGACATATCATTTCTTCAAGCGCAGTCTCGGACCCAGGCATTCCTATAGCTGATGTGGTGTAGACGCGAATTCCACGGAAGTGTGTGGCTACGCCGCAGTACTTCAGAGAAGACTTGGAGATGGGGATCCGGTAAAAGGCACGGGTGAGATCTGTTTTGATCATGTAGCGCCAGGGAGCGACAGTGCGCAGGGTGGTGTCCACATCAGACATTAGTGATAGCTGAGGCTTACTGTATCGTGCGACGTCGGCGAAAGCTGTTATGAGTCTGTGGTCACCGGAGGGCTTTTTGACTAAGAACGAAGGGTTGAGGTACTCAACGGTTGTGCCGAGAACCTCGGGGCGACGGAAGACCTGGGCTTGTTCAAGTTCATCAAACTTAGCTTGGAGCTCTACGAGTTGGTTCAGCGTGTACTGGGGAACGCGGCCTTTTCGTTGGGGGCGGGGGCTGTACAGGCCCAATGTTCACGGACGCTAGAATGGGACCAGCAGCGCCGTTGTAACTAGTTATTTCAGGATCGAAGAGGCGATCATAGGTCTGCAATAGCTGTCGGAACTTGACGCGGAGATCTTGGGGCAGTATGTTGTCGGGGTCAATGGACACGCTAGACGAGAACGGTAGGGAACTCTTGGGCTTTACAGGCTGAGGCAGACTGGGGAGAGACGGGGTGGAGGTAGAAGATGATGTCTCCTCTGTAGGTAGGATCTGACTGAGGTGTCCGTGGCGACCGATGAGTTTAAGTTCTTGAGAATTGTTGATTACACGGACTTTGGCGCGGACAGCTTCTTCATGTAGTTTTGGTACGTTTGGGCACTGGGGTGTCTGTGCATCATCATCATCATCATCATCATCATCTTTATTTTAAAACACGGTAAATACATCAGGCATTAACAATTTAATATAAAGCTACAACTTAAATACGAAACTATGTATACAGATTAATATTCTATAATTTAAAATATTGCTAACTATTAAGGAAAAGTAAACTAAATTAAAGCCTGTTTTACATGAATGCCGTGTCGGAATTAATTAAGAATCGTCGGAAATTAGTCAGAGATGTTGCTTGCCTAGCAGCTGAGGGTAGACTGTTCCAGAGGACTGCACCACTATAGGCAAAGCTATTTTTGTAATGGTTAGTACGCGGCAATGGTATTGCAAGCTTATTATCAGAATCGCGCAAATTGTAAGAAGTAATCACATCACTCCGTTGAATGAATTTCGAGGACAAATAATTCGGTGCGAGGCCGTTTAAGGACTTGTAGACCATCTCAGCCTTTAGTTTTTGACGTCGAGTTTCTAAATTGTCCCAGCCTAATTCTTTAAGCAGTTGGTTGGCGTCAGCATCATAACTAGAATGGGTAAGGACGCGGACAGCACGATTTTGAAGTCTCTGTAATTTGTCAGATAATGTTTTGGCACAGTTACCCCAAACAACACTACAATAGTCGAAGTGTGATTGGACTAACCCATGATAGATATTATGTAGAGTTGCAGGAGGAACACAGCGACTTATTCGTTTAATAGATCCAATACCAGAAGAGATTTTTTTAGATATAGCGTTGATATGATTACTCCATGTTAGATTTTCATCAATTAATACACCAAGAGACTTGGTAAAATCGACTCTGTTTAATTGTGTGCCATTAATTTCTAAGTCTGGGAGAACGGATAGACTATTCAATTTTTGTCTTGATCCGATTAACATAAATTCAGTTTTAGTCATATTGAGAGTCAATTTATTGGCAATGAGCCAATTGTTTATATTTAACAAGTCCTGATTTAAAGAAGCTTCAAGGGAGCAGATGTCATTGTCAGCATATGTTAGGTGAGTATCATCCGCGTACATTCTTGGTTGCGAGTTAGATAAACAATTAGGTAAGTCATTAATGTATAAGAGAAACAGCAAAGGCCCCAGTATTGTTTACAAAGTGGACAGGACTTTGGTCGCTTGGTAGGAGCCCACGGCTGGGGAGAAGGCTTGGGCGAAGGGCGAGGCGGTGGCTGTCTGAACCTCGACGCTGTGGTGCGGAGGACTTTAGTGTCGACGGTACTGCGAATTTCCTCGAGAAGGGAATCCAAAGCCTGGGAAATTTCGGGTTTCAAGGAGGCCAGAGTCTTAGATCTTAACTCTGTGCCATAGCGCTGTTTTACGAGTGCGGGTAGGTCGGATTGTAAGAGTTTTAACCAAGTTAAAACGACCATATTTTCAAGGGTGGGGGTCAGTTCTTCATCAGAAGTAACGTGTGCACCATGGTGAGTTACGGGGCCGTTGGCAACAAGTAGGTTATCTTCAGTGAAGGACATTAAACGCTGAAATAAATCTTCGGCGCGTTCGTCGACCTCAAGTTTGATGATGGAGAAATCTAGGAAGCGTGCACCAGTAGACTGGAAGCCATAGTGGGCCCTTATCGCTTACCAAACGGAGCTGATGGAAGTTGAATTGTTCACGATTGAACTACGTGAAATAACGGGACAGAAGTTGAGTATCTGGCCCAACATGAGGTCAAGGTGTAAGTTTTTCTGAAAGGCAGTAAGTCGGCGAGTGGTAGGAACGTCGTCGCCATCAGGCTTGAGTCCTATATTGGGAGCAGTAGAAGACTTTTTCAGCCACGTAAAATTGTCCGCTAAAAACGGGGCAAAATTAGCACCGAGAGAAAGGAAATATTGCAGATTCTGTCTCCAAGCTTCGAATGTAGTAATGGTTTCGTTCTTTGTGATGGACCACCGCTTCAGAGCTCTATTAGAATTCATGATGTGATTGTAAGAGTTCACTCAATCGACCACAGGATAGGAAGACTCGTCGTTGCTTGGATCAACGAGACGGTTTTCAGGCTCTCGGAGACGTGGGTAACGAGTCGCTGCCACCACGCCAACTTTGAAGAGACAGGAACGTCACAACGAAGGAACTCTAACGGCATTAATATCAACGAAATCGCTCGTACAACAAGATTGATGCGATAATCACATACACGAGGGAAAACCGGGGCGCGCATATAATATAACGCAATGCCGCAGGCACTGCCTGTTGGCAAATTATTGCACTTGAAAACATTTACAAATTCAAAGTAACCCTTTTCGCGCATAAAATTACTAACAATGCAACAAACGTCCCTACGATACTCAAAGGAACCCTTACCCTAGCCTCTGAGGTTCATAGTTACAACACCAGATTTGTATCCAACATTAATTTTCACCAGCCAAGGATAAACAATAATTATGGAGCTACCCCGTTTGCTTTTGCTGGGCCAAAAATCTGGCAAAAAATTCCCTCTAGAATAAAAAAAAACTCCCATATAATAGCTTCTACAAGTAATACAAACTGTACCTTTTAAACACCCGATGAACTTTGCTAGGAAAACTTTTTCAAAATCTGATACGGGGTCTGTAAATAAAATGTTGAGAATAATGCAAGTTATTTTTATTGTTTATGGTGAAAATGCACTTATAGCTGTTCGAGCTAGTTTGAATGTACTAACACTTCACTTAAAATGCTAGTAAGCAAAACTTGTCACACTTATAATCAGGATTTTAAGATTTCAAGTTGCTAGGTAAATACAACAAGTAGGCGGGGAACCAAACAGCTAGGGATTTCTTTTGGTGTTATTTTTCTTCCATTTTCCTATGAAAGTAGCCATGCTCTTAACGACAGTCCTGCTTAATGCTGACAAAACCAGGGCTTAGTTACCAAGTCAGTATTAAAATGAAACTGGTTGCAACTGTCAGTAACACTCATTTTGATATATGTCACCAAATTGTCTTGCTTGTGCCACCTGTGATCAGTGACCTGCATTATTGTAGCCCGGTCACCTCACACCCAACCCCCTCTATGGAAAACACAAATTTTACACCAACCCCTATACTGCATGCTACACTGTGAAATGGTAACTCAAACTTACAGGGCTTCCAAGAAAAAAAATCCAAATACTGACGTGTTCATTGGAAAATATAAAAAGAAACGACTGATAAATCGATCAGCCTGAAATTGGAATTGCTAAAAAATTTCCCCTTTTTTACACACTGGTATTTCCTCCAATATAAGCACCCAGGTGCTTATTTTAGGAAGGAAGTAGGGTTCTTAATCAAAGGGAGCAGTTATTAAGTTTTCCTTTCAACGAACTGTACCGCACCTATTTGAAAAATTGTTTTTGATTAGCTGGGAAAACAATAGGGATTGTCATATAACAATGCCCCTATCCCTGAAAACAGTGGAAGTGCAGATTAAAGGGTACCAGTGAAATAACAGGTTTAGAACGGTGCAGGTCTATTGTGTATTTTAGCTTGTTAACTAATTTTTTGAACACAGTCTGAAAAACGAAAACAAACACAGTCAAATATTTACACTTATACACATACACCGGCACCAATGTATCGGCATGCATGTTTATAAAATATTGCATGATTATCTCATCATCCTTGTCAATGATATGCAAATTCTCACATTAATTCCTCTTTTGTATCACTACTATTTAAAAAAATTGATTGGCAGGGAAGGGGGTGCATATCTGAATGGGGCGTGGCCAAGAGTGTTTGTTGGAGGATTAAGGTACTTTATTATGTGTGTGCTATTTTGTTTTTGTGTGGTAAACATTATATACCTTAATGTCAAATCCCGAGCTAGGGGAAACAGTTTTGTTTTCCCGAGAGTCCTGATGTCGAGGGAAAACAAAACTAACTGGTTTCCCGAGGGACCTTGCATTAAGTGTTTTGTTATATCTCTAGACTTTCACTTCAACAGCAACAAAAGAATATAACCCGGAGCAAATCAAAACAGTCAACTTGCTACTTATAATTAAGGACACAAATTTAATTCTCAAAACCAATGAATGATTTACAAAGTATTTTCCTTATATTATCTGCATCTTTTTCCTCCACTAGCTGCTGTTTTTCTTCTGAGATAACTTTGAAAATTGTTACTTTTTAGCTTGAGGCTTCATGTTTGTGTTGTTGTGTTTGTTCATGAAAAAGAAAACTGGCAGTGTTTTTCCCGCCTTCTGTAATGCCACCTTCCACCATGCTAAATATCACGTGCTGTAATCCCGAGCGTGGTACATTATTGCTCAAATGTATCACGATCTGGATACATTTGATTTTACTCAAGGTCATGTGACCAAGAATCAACCAATGGCTGTCCCTGCCAGTTGAGTGAAAGTCTAAAAATATAACAATGTCCTTTATTATTATCGCTGATTTCTGCTTATTTTTCAAGTCTGAAAAACGTATGCAAAAAACAATTTGACGTCATTCACTTCCTTTTGTTCAGAAACAAAAACAACAAATGGTCTCAAAGACCTTTACTGATGCTGCCAATGCCAACAAGTTTTTCAGGTTTTTAATGATGATCCCATCAGCAACATTCTCCATTTTCCTTACAAGATCAGATCATTCAAGGTAAGCACTGAGCTATATGGCTGATAAAAAAAATTGGTGATCGATTTTTATCGATTTAATTAGTAATCAGTCGACAAAATAATATCGAGTAGTATAGAGTATTGATTAATCAATCTGACCCGTGTGAAAAACCTCCATGGAATTCCATGGAAAATTCTCCATGGAATTCCATGGAGGATTAGGACATCAATTTCCATGGAAATTTCTCCATAGATTTCCATGGAGGATTAGGACATTTCCCATGGAATTCCATGGAAAACATTAGCACAACAATTTCCATGGAAATTCCTGCATCGACATTTTCCATGGAATTCTACGGTGGCCCATTA